AAGACACCAGACACTAGAATGTATTCTAAAACCTTTAGCTGCTATAATGCATTTTGCTTTGATATTTAAGCTCCAATGCTTCACAAAGCATCAGTGGTCCAGAAGGCACCTCTCGGGAGCCCTGATAATTGTAAGGTATGTGTTGGTCTGCACACTGAACGGCTAGGAGATCTGACACCCAGATACTCTCAGTGAGAAGAAAGGAAGTTTACTCCCAAAAAGATCAGAGACTTGGAAACCTAATATGATAGGTCTACTCTGTCTGTAGGATCTCTGTAACTCAGTGAAAATTTAACTGCAGAGGGTTCACAACAAACTATCAGAGGCTTTTTAAAATCCATTCAATGTCATAATATACTCAGTCAACTTATTATTCTATTTTACAAAAGGATAGGATTTTGGGGAATGGAATGAGAAATTGTAGTACATTCACACAAAAGCGTACTTTGCAGCACATAGGAGCAATGATTCTGAAAAATACTGCCTAAGTTGGGAGAGGCTGGAGAGTATTATCTAACTGAACTAAGGCAGTCTCAAAAAGACAAAACATTGCATAAGACCATCATTGTAAAACTAGACGGGCAACTAGTAAAACGTGTACAGAAAGTCAAGAGGGATTTGGTAACAGAGGGGTGAGGATAAGTAGGGGTAAAACCACAAGGCTGCAGAGTTTATTAGGAGGAGGGCGGAAAGGAAAGGGGGAAAATCTGGGTAAAAAGACGTGGTAATGATGGGCAAGGTCCAATGGTGAGTGAGTTTATTGAAAATTATTCATGAGAAAGATTATACAGAACATAGAGTGAAAGGAGAATAGTGTGAAACTTTATAGGCAAGTCAATTAAAAAACTTAAATACATAAAAAAGAAGATAGAACTTTGTTCTCATGAGAATAAAGTAAGAATAATAAAATAAGAAGAAACTTCCAAGCAAAAAGGAAAGTAGCTTTTTTTTCTTATTAATATTTTTTGGGGGGGAGGGAGATCATGAATTCTACCTTCATATATGTAAATGAAGACAGATCTCCTGGATACTAAAGGTTCAATTCCAGATCACTGACATAAAGAAATTGCATGCATTTTTTGGTTAGTAAGTGGATAAATAATTGAGATTTAAACTATAATGTAACCGTATCACACCTATAATAACTTATGAAAATACTTGCAATATTATGAGAAACACTGAAATGTGACATGGATATATTGTTGCTGTGAGTCTTATTCAAAGGATATTTCCACAGACCTTCAATTTATAAACAATGTAATAACTACAGAGTGTAATAAAAAAGGCAGTTTGTGTAAATTTTTAAAAATTATTATTTTACACTACAACAATATAAAGGTAAGTAATCCGATTTAAAAATGGGCAGAGGATATGAACAGAAACTTCACCAAAGGAGACATTCAGATGACCAACAAGCACATGAAGAAATGTTCAAAATCCCTAGCTCTAAGAGAGATGTAAATCAAAATAACTATAAGACACTATCTCACCCCAGTAAGAATAACAAAATTTAACAGAACACCAAGCAACAAATGCTGGCAAGGTTATGGAGAAACTGGAAAACTTATTCACTGTTGGTGGGAGTGTAAACTGGTGAAACCACTGTGGGAAGTGGTGTGGTGCTTTCTCAAAAAGTTGCAAATAGAGATACCACTTGACTCAGCAACTCCACAAGTGGGAATATACCGTAAAGAGACCATAACTGACATCCAAGTAGATACATGCACACCCATGTTTATTGTGTCTTTGTTCAAAGAGTTGGAAACAACCCAAGTTCCCATCAACAAATGAATGGATAGAGAAACTGTGCTTTATTCACAAAATGGAATACTGTAATGCATTGAAATACAAGAAACTCATGCAATATTATTCCAAATGGGTGATCCTTGAGGTCATTATGCTGAGTGAAATATCTCAGTCACAAAAAGACAAATACTGCTTGGTGCCACTGTTGTGGAATGGGACTGACCTCAAGGTGGGGTTAAGACTGAGAAGAACTGGATAAATTATGTATACCACATTGAAACAGATGCGTGAGAGAACAATTTAAAAGCAATACATGATAGGGTTTATGGTTATCACAAGAGTCCAGATACAAGGTTGATAGAGGAGTATACTTTGGGGAGGGGGGAATTGCATAGCAATGAAGGAATTTTTCTTTTACTTTTCAGGGAGAGGAGAGACCTTGGGGGGGCGGGGGCGGTCAGGGAGGAAAGTGCAACAATGAATGAATGGAAATCCAAAATCTCAGTAAATGTTCATTAAAATTAATTTGAAAAAAAAGTATAAAAAATTATTCATTTAAAATATAGCAAACTTGTGTTCTGTTTTTTTCCAGCTAAATTCAGCATTGGGAGTTGTATACTAAGTTTAGCTGCACTAAGGTTAATAATTTCTGATACAAACTTGGTTTCTTAACAGGATCTGAAGGACAGTCTCTACCCCATCCTTCCCAGGTGGACAAAAGGGGGCACTAGACACAAAGTGCTCAGAGAAAGTGGAGACAGACAACCAGTGTGAACTGGCTAGGAACCAACCCCTTAGGCTTTCTCCTTTTTTTCTCCTCCAGTTTCCACGATGCTGGGAAAAGATATTTTGAACAAAAAGCTCTCCTTTCTCCGTGATATTTTCACATTATTTCACCATGAAAATTGGTGCCAACTCCCCAGGTGGAGAAACATCACCCAAAGGACAAGGGGAGAGGAGAGTTGTTGTTCTAGGCTCTCCCTCCCTTCTACTTGGATGTCACTCTCTTTACAGTGACCTCAGGTGAGGACAGCCCTTAGTCCCCTCCTCCTGGTTTGGATGACCTCTCGGATGTTGTTACCAGTAACACAGCGTTAAGTCCTCTATTTCTTGCTCACTTCGTTATTTCTTCTTCTTGTCTTTAATCCCTTCTATCACTGCAGGCGCGGGATAAGTACAGTGGGGATTTTATGGACAGTGTAGAATCAGGCACTGATTGTTCTCTTGTCATAGAGTCCCGGTGAACTGGAGTTGATTTGATGGTAGCCAACAAGATCACGGCCTCTATAGGAGCCCTGGCTGTGCAATGTGTTACTGATGCTCAAAAGTTGGTCTGAATCATGTTCACTATGTTACTGATGCTCAAAAGCTGATACTGGGCTGATGCTCAAGGGTTGGTCTGAACCATCAGCTACTGTGTTGGATAAAGATGGGGCAGTCTGCTCTGGTAAAGATTTACAATCTTGTACAAATTTACAACCAATGGACAAATCCAGTCTGTCCTACAGGGTAACCGTGAATGGGAATTGATTCTACTGCAGTCATTTTACTTGGTATTTATTACTTGTGATTGAAATATTGGAATGATTATCAAAAGATCGGTTGTTCAAACACAGAAGTATTCCACAGGAGTAGTTAACAACAACAACAACAACATTATGGTTTGGAGGTCTTTCTGATCTCCAGGCATGCAGTTCCTTGGTTCCAGGACAGACTCTTTCCCAGGGTGCTTTGTGTCAGTTGGGAACCCAGTGAAGCTGTGGTCCCCAGAGGAGGTACAGCCAAGAAGAGAAAGGAGACTCACCCACCTGGACTCGACAGACTCCTACCTTTCCCGTTAACCCCAACAACCCATGATGATGTATTTAGATTGTTTATTTATAAGAATGGGCTCTAAGAATACCCACGATTGCAGGGTAAGGATTGAAAGGCTGTATCTCATTTCCGTTGGCTGGGTTGGATCCATCTGTCTCAAGGGAATTTTACATTTGGCAATCGTGTCAATAGACTGGGTATATTTCCATAGATGTGGGGGTACTTTTCCAGAGCATATAGGAAGCCAGCTAGGATTGTGCTCACACGAGAAGTTCCATGATGGGAGGAATCATCTGGGGAAAGAATGACAGAATTTAATGAATTCTGGGGCACCAATCACAGACCTTTTTTGCATGCCATTGCATGTGTGTTTTAACAACTATTGTAGCCAGCTTGCAGGGACGGTATGACTTCTGTTGGTATTTCACACAGACCCCCTGTCCAGGGTCCTTCAGCTTCTAGGAATGTAAATTTCAACTCACTCTTTCCTCAGGGAAATAATCTTCATGGCAGCGTCTTCACTTGGGGTCCTATGCCCCATCCCCAAATGATTTCTACCACCCCCCCACCCCCACTCCCGTCAGGGTGATGTACTGTATTTTCTTATGTGTTGCTATGATGCTGGGAGAGTGGCCACTGGAACAGGCTTACTTCCAACATACTGAGGACTCAATCCAGACCACGACCATGAATCACTGATAAACATAAGGCAAATCACACAAATGTTCTCGGAGTTTCACAGACATAAACCTCTACCCTTCACTGTTTATTATAGCTCAATGTAAAGAAAAGTTTGGCATAATAGTAAATTTGATTACTCTGAATCCATAATCAGTATATGTGGAAGCTTCAACGTGTGTAGAAGTTGTAGAGTGAATCAGAAAGACTGAAAAAGACTTGATGCCTTTTAACAGTCTGCCATCCAAGAATACTGAATATCCCCACGAACATCCAAAAGAAGAAATCAATCTTTCTAGGAAGAAGTGTCCTCTTAGTGCCCCTTAGAAGAAAGGAAGGTAGGGCTCTGTCTGGGATATTTTGAGCATGTTATCAGGAGGGAACAATCTCTACAAAAGGAAATCATTATTAGAAAAGTAGACAATCAATGGCAAAAATGAAGCATTTCAATGAGCTGTGTTGTCACAGTGAGAGCAACAAAGGGCTTAAGCAGTGAGAGGGTGTAAGGATGGTGAGAGACCTGGCATTGATCAGTCCTCGTGTGTGTAGTGTTCTTATGACGAGAGCAGATGAGAGTGTTCAACAACACAGCACTCCACTGTGCCCCTCTGTGCTGTGCAAAGCCCCAGTTCCTCCCACCTTCGTTTGTGCAGGTGTACATGTATATTTCACAGTCTCCCCTGCACCCATCACACAAGATCCCTGCCTCACTTTGTCTGGAATGTGCAGTCCATCTCTATGTGCCATTCTTCCCTCAGTCATCACTTACAAGTTGTGCTGAAGCATCCATCTGCCTTCTGCCAGCGGAGAATATTCACAAGCCAGTGGGGTTTGTAAAAATCAATGTATCCAGCAGTTCCACACAGCATGACTGAAAAAAGAGAGAGAGACAGAGATATGGGGGTCCTTCTGCTTGGCTTGCTCCTAGGTGGACCTCCTCCACCAAAGCCCGTGACCTGCCTCTTCCACCAGGGTCCTGTCATCCCAGAATGACACATGAAAAACTAGCTGGAAGAAGCACCCTCGACACCACCCTCACCACAGAGGCTCCTGGATTTGTGCTCTGCCTCTTGTTTATGGCCTAGGTCAAGGATGTTTAAGGGCTGGAGATAGTAAAGTGATCTAAACGTCATGGGGCAGTTATTTTTGTTCGGTGGAGAGAGAGGGCGAAGAAAATGGGAAAGATAGGCAGGAATCTGAAAAGACAGCGTAATGGGGAGCATATTTCCATGGGGAATGTTTGCACGAAACACAATGAATGGAAATGATTGTATGAAGCACAAGGAGAAGGAAGGATCATGTTAAACACAATGTATATGCATTTTGTACCCATACCAATATAAAAAAAAACATAAAAATAGTTTATGGGGCATACTAATATTGAATAATTCTTAGACTATCCAGTATTTTAATGAGCTATAGAAATGGTCTTTGAAAAAATTTAAAGGAAAGAAAAAAAGAAATGGTCTTTGGAATTATAGTCTTCAAATCCTGGATTTTTAAAAGAATAAACAGAAACAATCTTTTAAAATATCGTTTCTCTGATTTGGCCATTTTACCTTTTTGTAAAGCACAAGGCTTCCCTTCTGATCTCATCTCTGAGTCTTTCAGTCTGCCTTTGTTCCGTTAGTCTGTCCAGTGTTCAATAACTGGGACAGTTTAGGAGCCAGGGAGCACCTCTCTTAGTGATGGCTGATAAAATACGGAACACATTCAGTTATCTCGGAATATGTAGAGCTCCTTTTTACCACAGTAAAAGTTCTGATATCTGGAGTTGTGATATAAGAGTTTAAGAAAATGAAAAAAAATGTTTTCCATTAAATCTATTGGTAAAAAGTCAGTAAAATTTAACCCTGTGGAAATTGGAAAACTCTACAGCCTGCAAACCAAAGCTGGTTTCTACTGTATAAATCGATCACATGTGATACTGGAAAACATTTTTACTGAAGTAAGTGTTTATTTTTACTTTAAATCAATCTGGAAATCTGGTATTTTAACTTGCTAAAACAGAAAATTCTACCTACACACACACACACACACACACACACACCACTGTGTGTCCAAGAGCATGTTTCTGACTGTGTCAGCGTGTGTACACACATATATGCCTGCCTGGGGTTTAACATGTTCACGTGTACATGAATGTGTTTTGAATGCTTGTACACATGTGGTGTCATGTGAATGCCAACGTGTGGAGACACTGATTTCTCAAACATGGAGACTCTGCTACTTTGAACAAGAAGTGAGGGACTTACTGTTTTCCAAAAAATCATCGCGAGAGGAATTGTGGTAGTTTCTGCTTTCGATTTCTGTATTCATGTCCATCAGTTTGGAACAGACTCGGTTCAGGTAGTCTTGGGTGTGTTCAAACATCCCATTTCTGCATCCAAGCTGGAGGACAAACCCCAGAGACAAAGAAGTCAGCACCAACAGCAGACAAGGGCGGCCACCACTCCTGGGAAGAACCTGCATTCTCAGGTGGTTGGGCAGGTGTCTGAACTGGGCAGGCCTTCACCCTATTATACAGGATTTATCTGCACCTCCACTCCCACCTTGTTTGGACTTTATTATTCTTGAACTTCTATGAGTGAGAGAGAGGAGAGTTCAAGTGCTCAACCACCGTACCCTGGACACTTGATCTTGGCCAGTTGGGGTAAGCATTCTGAGTCAGGGACAGCACATCTCCAGTGATGCCAGGAGGACAGGACTTGAGAAACGTCTTTGCAAAGTTCTATAGTCCCCTGTCATCAGCCTTGATGAGCTGTTAATGAAGCATTATGCTTACACTGAAAAAGAGATGAAATTATTGAAACTTCTAATCTTAGCCACTGTCAGTTCATCTCATTCAAAGTACCCATCTTTTTTACTGGTCTTCTATTTCACTAAGCATTTTATCTATTTTCAGGAGCTAACTCATCATTATCACATAGTCATGGTACATGAGACAAGCCTTGCCTCCTCAGAAATAAGTAGATTCTCGCGGGACTTTTGGTCACTTCCTTAACTGAATCAAGGATGCTTACAGCATAGTCCATGGTACCTGTCTTGTTCTCCAATACACCTTGGCCATCTCATACTTACCATTTTGGAAAAAAGGAAGTACATCAGCTGCTGAAATATCTGGACATGTGAGTTGACAGGCGTGGTCATCAATTGCCTGCAGACATCTGAGTACATACAAGACTCTTTGCTACCACTATTAGGGGGGGAAATGCTGTGTGTCATTAAAAGGAATCTGAAGTCAAGGAGCTTCCCAGTTCATGCCTATAACTTCTCTGGGTATGATCATATGCTAGTAATAGCCCCCTGACATCAAGTTTATTCTGATATCTCAATTATACAGAAGAGAAATTCTACAAAGTCTTATCACTTATCAGTCATCTTTATAGGCCTGACTGTCTCATTTCTGTTCCCCTCACAAGTTTCTGCGTTTGAAGCACCTATATTTCACTAAAGGTGCTGCTTTGGAAAGAGTGCTCTGGTTTAAGTGGGCGAGGATGGAATGGAGATCACGCAGGGCTTGGGAAGGAGTACATGAGTGATGTGGGTGGGTGGGCCATAAAGGATACAGTGGTGTGGACTGAAGAGGTGGGCATTGTGCTAGTGATGAATAAGCTGAAAAGGGTCAGAACAGAGGAAGGAGGAAGAAGAGTTTTACACAGACTTTTAGATGTGGGGACTTAGATGTGGGGACCATCAGAACCCAAGGAGAGTACTTTGGAATCTATAGGGAATGAGGTTAGGCAGTTGAACCCACCTGTTATTCAGTAGAGTTATCGTGCATAACTCGCTGGCATCTTCATTCACAGGTTCTAGGGGGGCTAATCCTATGGGGATCACTGTGTCTTTAGCAAGGAGCGAAGGTTGGGGAATCTTCCAGAAATCTGCTTGGATTAATACTTCAAAAACTGAAAGAGAAAATTCAAAGTAGTGCTGGACAGGAAAAGAGCTAGGAATAACTAACTACCCAGTGGCTGAGGAGTAAAATATACATACAATCAAGGGGCTTCTTTAATAATAGATATAGGACTCTGGAAGAAAGCTGCATGTGGTTAAGTGGCAGCTCTTAGTTGTTTCTGATGTAAGTGTGCACTGGCTGATTCACCTTCACTCTAGGTTCTGAGATTGAAATGTAGTGAATTAATGCCCTTCATCAAACTATCCCTAAGCCCCTCCACAGCCTATGTGACTTCAAGTCTTTCCTTTGGGGATTCCGTTGGCACAAATCATTCTAGAAACACATTGAAAAAAAATAGTTGTTGTTTTTGGTTTTTTTAAAAAAATCAGGAATAGAGTGTAACCAGGCTTTTGACCTTTTTGGTTTCATTTGTTACCAAATCAATGTCAACTCAATACAAGCCTGTAGGACTAAGTAAAATGGTCCTGAATTGTCTTCCAAACATAATGTTCACTGAAACAGATGCCCTGACTTTTAACCCCACCATAACTTAGTAGATTTGAGCTCTACAACTTAGAGTTGGCATTTGAGCAATAAAATATAGCACCACCAGGTCTCTTGGCTTAGATAAAATGGATAGCATCTCATGGAACCTTGAGAAAATTTACAAATACTACTTGACTCCTTGGATTTCAGCATCCGTGAGTGTTGCTAATGGTTAATAGAAATGGATTCTAATGAAAAGCTTAGAGGTTCCAATTCCTGAGTACCTCAGAATGCAGGCTTTGCAATCTTCTTTTAACATATCAAACATTATAGTGTTATCGATGACAGTTACCTCTGCTACCCATGGAGTCACCTGAGCTGAGGCTGATGAATTAGTAATTTGGGCCCATGTCAGCCATTAATACAATCTAGTATCAATGTTATATATTGACCCTTATACAGTGGCCCCACACTAACAAGAATAGATACTTGAGTAGTTTAGGGACCAAAGGACATTCTGGCAAGATGTTAGTCATTGAAGTAGAAGCAGTTCAGTTACTGCCTACATCTTCCACACTCTGGTATAAACCACTATTCTAGGATGAGGACCACAAGCATGAGAGGGGGCAGCCTAGAGTAAGCTGACATCCACTCTTTCACTTTTTTGGGAGGGATGATGACACACTGTGATAGATGGAGACAAAAATTGACGCTGTCAACTAGCTCAATTTACTTCACTGCAGAATCAACATGCTAATAGCAGTCTAGACACCAAAAGGCATGGTGCTCTTGACAATGTGAGGTCAAGGACCGCTCTGAATTACCACGGACTGCCCACACACAACAAGCCAACTGTTCTTGGAGGAAGTGCAAACAGTGTCCATAGAGGCACAAGACAGGTAAAGGCTCAGAGCTGGTGTTTATCGGGTCACTAGGACTCTTGACTTGCTGATTTCTAAAAACATCTACGTGGAAGAGAGGGACCTTCTAACCTAGAATCAAATTTGAGTGAAACACTTAACCTGCAGTTAGGCTTGTCTAGGGTGGTAGGTGGTTCTGACCATCCCATGCCTCAGAGGAGGCTGTAACACACTGCATTACTATGTGGGTAGTTACCGTCTAGGTTGCCAGATACAGCCTCGGACAAGTAAGAAATGGATCTGCTGAGAATCTCCTCTAGCTTCATGGAGATCGTCTTCATCTTTTCATTTATTGGCTCCATTTCTGGGTTCATGGCCCATGGCTCCATAACGCCTTTGACATACGCTAGGAGGAAACACAATGAGTTCATTCTTCAATATGTGCAGGAGAAATATGTAGTTATAACACTTACTGCATTTGCATTAATTGCATCTCCCTGTAAAATGTACATGTACGTCCGATCTCACAATTCCTCTCTCTGTGACCATTAGCGGTTGTAATGCTGCCCCTCAAAAATACATTGTTTTAAATCCTAAACCCTGTATTGATTACAATTCCATTTGGAAATGGATTTTCTTTGCCATATAAATGAGGATTTTTACTGGATGCATCTTCAGTCATCTCCTTTGAAAGAGAAAAGAGATTAAACAAGCAAATGAATATACAGGGATGAGGAAAGAGAGAGACCCGGTAACTGCATGAACACCTGGGAGTCAAACAGCAAACTTCAACTATCCAATAGGCAAAGTTAGATCAGCTCACAGTTTGGTGCTTCTTTCCTGCCTCACCCTAGTCCATGGTGGTAGATGGGGGTGCAGAGGTAAGCCTGGGGGCTCTCCTGAAGGAAGCCTGGCAGTTGAGGGTTACAGAGAGAAATGTGAGGAGACCACATGGTTGTGACGTCAAGGTGGGGCTCCAGGTACCGAAGCTGATTTGTCCTGTAACCCTACCTCCTGTGGAACCCTGACTTTCCAAGTGTGAGCAAATTCTGTCACCATCACAGAGGTGATGGGTGGTTTGGGAAATCCACTGCCCACATCCCAACTGACGGCAGGGACACCAACTAGTCATCTTCAATCTTCCAAAGCGCAACAAGCACTACTCTGTTCCCTCAGCACCGCCAGGGAAATTTCGCTGGAAGCAGAGGAAGCTAGGGTTGGAAATTACCCTGAAAGGTCTCTATTCTCTGGACCCCCGTCCCGTAATGGGATCGGTCACCCCATAAATGCCCTCGTAAAGGTATATTCTACTCCCTCCTTTGTTAGTAATATGATGGCAGAGAAAGCACAAAGGATCTATAACTATGGAAATAGCAACATACTGTGGAATTGAAGTCACAAGTCTAAATCATATGGTCTATAAGCTTCCCTCCCACGTTCAGGACACTCGGGAGAAATGAGTCACCCATTTGTTCCTTTACGTGGCCCGAGCAGACTACTCATGTACCTGATGGTCACTGGACTCCTGGGGTTCACAGTAGGTTAGAGTAGAGAGTGACTGGCACCCCACTCACCTTCCAGAATTCGGAGACAAATCATGATATCAACAAAGAGATTCTCCTTCTCCAGGCAGGTGGCAGTTGCATTCAGGGAGGATAGGATCACATCTGCCAGAAGGATTTTGTCTTTTTCATCATGTTTTTCAATATCTTTCAACACTGAGTGTGATGACGTTGGCTGCAGCAGTGACGAGGTCAGCAGCAGGAGCGAGAGCAGCATCCCAAGGACAGACATGGTTCATTCTGCTCTCATTGAATGAGCCCTTTTATACCCATCATCTGGGTCAGGATGGCTCTCCCCCCTCCACTCGGCTCCTCCTTCTGCTCCTCCTCCTTAGACATCAGATAAGAGCGAGATAAGACTCACCTCTCTGGGCTGACTGGAAACACCACAACTTCACAGAGGCTTCTGGGAAAGACAACTACTCTGAATTACCTTGTGCTCTACTAACAAACGGAAACTCTATGAACATTGCTCAGATCTTTCATTCATAGGGTCGCTATGAATTGTCTACAACTCAATGGCACCTAACAACAATAACAACAACAACAACGAGCTATGTTGACTAGTGTACATAAAGTTACACACTGGTGACGCAATTCAGTTGGTGAGGAGATTGCCTTTAAGGTTTTTGCCTTGAGTCACTGTCATCACTAATTAATGTCATCAAGCTGCTTACCGTTCACAGCAACCCTAAGACAAGATAATTGACCCTTGGCCAGACCTGCGCCATCCTCCCATTCTCTAACATGTCCAAGTCCACTGTTAGAGACACTTTGTCAGCCCATCTTGTCAGGGTTTTTCTTCTATCTCTCTCTGACTCTCCACCTTTTTAAACATGATGTTTTTTCCAAGTACTGGCCTTTTCTGACAATACGCTCAAAATATGTGAGATAAAGTTTCACCATCCTTGCCTATAAGGAGCACTCTGACTAGACTTGCTCCAATTATACAATGTAGTCAGTGGGGTATCTGGTTTTCCCCAACACCACAGTTAAGGCTAAACAGAGGCATTGAGTCTTCTGCCATCTTTATTCCAACTGTCTAACTTCCAAAACAATATGAAGCATCTGAAAAGCCATGGTTTAAATCAGATGAACTTTGTTATTATTGTTGTTGATGTTGTTAATACCTTCAAGTTGAGCACCATTCACAGTGACCCTATGAACAAAAGATCTGAACCCTGTTCTCTCCTGAGCCAACCTCACGCTGACACACAAGAGTCCATTGCATCAGTCACCATGCCAACCCATCTGGTTGTGAGTCTGCCTCTCCTTCGCCAACCCTCCCCTCTTCCCAGCTTCATATCCTTCTCCAAGAAATAGCACCTCCCAGCAACAAACCCAAAGTGTGTGAGGAGAAGCCTCATCATTCCTGCCTCCAAAGAGCATGCCAGCTGCACCCACTCCAGAGTATATCTTTTTGTTCTCTTGGCCAGTCATCCATGGGATGGTCAGTGTTCCTCTCCAACACCAGAGCTCAAAGGTGTCCATTCTTTGTCTGTCATCCTTATTCATTGTCCAGCTCTCAGAGGCATAGCAAGTAAGCAGAAAGACAATGGCCTGAATCACATGCACATTTATTTTTCTGTATTCCTCATACACTATCCAGCTCTCAGATGTACAGCAAGTAATCAGAAAAACTACGGCCTGAATCAGATGCACCTGAGTCCTCACACTGACATTACTCCTCAATAATTTTGAGAGGTTCCTAACTGCAATTAGATGCACTTGAGTTTTTAAAATTATATCCCTGCTTCTTGGCACTTTGGAGAGATCCCTGACAGCAAATTTCCCAAGTGCAACATGGTTTCTGTTAACTTTAAAATTGTTGCCATGGATGTTAATGGTGGATCATAGTCAAATGGGATCATTTTTCCAATTCATGGAGGCCTCATGTTATTCCTTATTTTAACTTTTTTTATATTGCTTTCCTAACAAATGTCATATACATTGTGTTTCACAGTACTCTTCATTTACATTGTGTTTCATACAATCATACCCATGCATTATATTTTATAAAATTAATCACTATTGGGCTATGCCCACCATGACACTGTCTGTAGAAGTCTTACCAGATCTTTCTCCTTTCCTTTATCCTCTCCCTCTACCCATCAAATCGTGCAACTCTGTGATTTCACCTGTGCCCATCCTCACCTCTCTGTTCCCACATCTTCTCCCCCTGCATCCCTTTACCTTTTACTCCTTATCCTTCTAGTTTATAAAAATGTCTTTATGCAGTATTTAGTCTCATGAAGCTTAGTTAGTTCACTCAGCATAATGCTCTCCAGTCTCTCCCAAGTTGTAGTATTTGTCAAAATTGTTGCTTCCGAGTGCTGCATAGTATTCCATTGTGTGAGTGGACCACAATTTCTCAACCCATTCAGTTGTAGTTAGATATCTTGCTGTTTCCATGTTCTTCTTATAGTGGATAACGCTGCTATCAACACTGGGGTATAAATCTCCCTTTATGTCTCAGTTCTATTTTCCTTGAGATATATTCCTAGTCGTGGAATAGCTGGGTCATACAGAGTTGCTACATTCAGTTTTTTCCGGAAATGACGAAATGCTTTCCCAGAGTAGTTGTAGCATTTACAACCCCATCAACTGCAGCATTTATTTTTTATGTTGTTTATGTTTCAAGAAGTCAACTGTCAGGCTTTTTCTCCTGTGGTGCTTCTTACCTTCTATTCCTTTTCTTCCCAGTTGATGCAAAATTTTGTGCTACCCAGGAATTTCATATGACCTTCCTGACTATTGGGAGGGCATGAAATCTGCAGGTTTGTGTACTATCTCTTGTTAGTGACTACCTTGGATCATTTAACCTCAAGGAAATGAGCACATTCTTTCATAATAAAGATATGTCCTTGAAATCGTAGAGATACTCTTGGTGTGTGGGAACCATAAGATATCTCCTTGAATTGTGAGAACTGGTGGGAATTGTCTAAGATCCTCAATCTCAATTTCTTTTAGGACACCAGACTGATAGGAGTGACCTCTTGATGGCCAAACATGGAGCTAGGCTGTAGTGAGGATGTGGTCTCCAGACCACAGTGCTAACTGGACAAGAGAGCTACTGAGTACAGAAACAGGCCCAGGCTCCATCCAAGTCACGGTAACCTAAAGCAAATAGCTCAAATGTCTGACTGTCCATCTTTCCATTTTTACATGTTAATTCAACCTTCAACGTTTCAGGATGAGGGAGCTCTGGTGGCCTAGTGTTAAGCATCTGTGCTCCAGTTCCAAAGGTGTGCAGTTCCAAATCAACCACTGCTCTGCAGGAGGATTAATAATCTCCATGTGATTACGGTCAATGAGGAGTTGGTTCTGACTCGAGGGTGCACAACAACCACCACCTCCACCTTTCAGGATTAGGATTGGGCAAGTCCTCGTTACAGTGTGACCACCACCTTCATTCTACATAAAAAGGACAGCCAAAGAGCACTGAGAGAAGCAAATTATAAATATATTAAGTCCTGAGCCAGCGAGATTGCAGCTCTCCTGTCCTTGGTTTGGTGTTCCCCAGTGTGATGGAATGGGTCCCCTGCATGTTCTGAACAGCCCAAGCATGAGGGCTATGGGACAGCTTCACTAATGTGCTCTAGACTGCTCAGCAAGGTACGCTTTCAAGACGACTGTCATAGAAACACACGTTGTACTGTAACAGAGCTTGATCCTCTCCTTGAAGTCCTGTCAGTGTGTGCTGTTCCATGTCCACTGTGACCTTCCAACACGAACAAGGTAGGACTTGGCCCACAGTTTCTGCCAGAATAATTAAGTTATAAGACTGAGGCTTATAGTTTATTTTTCTCTTTCTTCACAAGAGAAATTGGGTTTTCAC